AGGATCGCTTGAGCCCAGGAGTTTGAGGTTGCTGTGAGCTAGGATGACGCCATGGCACTCTAGCCCAGGCAAAAGAGTGAGACTCTGTCTCAAAAAAAATAAAATAAAATAAAGTAGAGGTCATTGTTAATCTTGCGATATAGACTATTCACAAATTCAGCTTTCGTTTATCCTTAAACACATTTTAACCTGCTTTCTCCAAATATATCTGCTCAGGTTTTGGGTCTATGCTCCGAGCACTTGGTGCTCAGATTGAGAAGACAACCAATAGAGAAGCTTGCCGGGATCTCAGTGGAAGGAGACTACGAGACGTCAATCATGAAAAAGCGTAAGACACCCACCTTTTTTTTGTTTCTTCGAGATATACTTTCCTATCAATAGTGATTATGCAAATACCATGGGTATTGGAAATGTAAACTTGAAATATTTATGTTCTAATTTATTGTTACCAGATTTAACCTGTTCCATAATTTAATAATTATCTTTGGGATTTAGTTAAGACCATTACTGTATGCTAGTAGTAAGCATGGCTCACCTTTCTGAGAATATCACAATATGAACAAGAGTGTGTTAATTTGTCAGGGGGCATTTTACATATAAAAGCATATGTATATAAAATATATCCATTCAGTTTTATCTCTTCCTCTCTCATACCCAGAATGGCTGAATGGGTAAAACAACAAGCAGAGCGAGAGGCTGAAAAGGAGCAAAAACGGCTGGAGCGACTGCAGCGGAAGCTTGCAGAGCCCAAGCACTGTTTCACCAGCCCCGACTACCAGCAGCAGTGCCACGAGATGGCTGAGCGCCTGGAGGATTCTGTCCTCAAAGGTGAGAGTGAGGATTCCTTAGTGTAGGCAGCAGGCAGCCCTAAAGCCAGCTGTTCCAGACTGCTCCACATTACACACAAAGAGCAGTTCTTAATCTTTTTGGGGGTTATAGACGTCCAGGAATCTAATGGAAGCCTTGGAACCTCTCCCCTCAAAGATGAACACAGTATATTTCTTAAAAAGAACACACACCCACACGACATTTGGCATACTTAACTCCTGAATTGCATGGGACTGTGGGCTCCAGGTAAGGACAGTGTTTGTGTTTTTGTTTAGGAATAAGCTAAGTCTTCAGGAGATGTCTAGACTTCAAGTATTTGCTGCCAGTTTTAGGTCATTTTTTAAAAAATGGTTTTTAATGAGAATGATTCTCATTAACTATTATTAAGTATTATTAAGTATTATGCTAGGCCTATTATGAATACAATTGAATAAAAAGGGATCTTTTTCCATCTAAAAGGTTATGACATAACAGGAAAAAGACAAATGTATAAAAATAACTCACATGAGGATAAATAATTAAGTTTTGGGAGGGTTAGGTATAAACCTGTCAGCCTCAAAGTTACAAATTGGGCAATGGTGCTTTAAAAATCTGGTCCCGGAACCAGCGTTTTATTATTTTAAATCTGTGTAAATTTGAGATTAATTTCACTTCAACCATAGAAAATTTTGGTATCTTAAGAATTTGAAATCTAGAGCTTTAGATTGCAGCTCTTTTTGCAATCGGTATTACTTATAATTGCTTTCACCCCAGTCCTTCTAGTAGAAACTGAGTAGTTCACGTTTCTGGTTAGGGATGCAGGCTGCTTCCAGCAAGATGGTGTCAGCAGAAGTTAGTGAGCATCGGAAACGGCAGCGGCCTCCCACATCAGAAACAGACCAAGGAGCCAGTGCAGGGAAAAGGAAGTGCTTATGGTAAGTGTCTTTCATTTTTATTCCAAATTGATCGTTGAGGACTGACATGATGTATTTCCTTCTTGTCTATCTGGCATAAACATATTTTTATGTAATGTTTGATGGGAGCTCAGAAAATTTCCAGACTGCTTCAGTCTTCAGGTTTCAATGATTGTCACATTGTACATATTAGTAATGGTTTCTGCTGTGAATGCCATTTTGTTTTTGGACGTATCAGATATTAAACTGATAAGAACAGATACTACACTTGATCTTAGCCAAAAGGCCGAGAAGCAATGTGTGAATGCCATTAATAGAATCTAGAGGATACTATTTTTCTTTATGGTGAACATCACATAAAATAGCTTTATATTTGAATTACTTTTTTGGTGTTAAAGGAATTAACTTTCAAAAATTCCAGGCAGAAGTCAAGCTACACCGTCCAGGTTGTTCTGTTTTCTCTGGTTTTTCTTAGTCGTCATTGAGGTCTTTCGTCACTTTGCCAGACCTCTCTTCACCACTTTCGTGCTTGTAGGTAAAAAGCACAAAAGCGCTTTTTCTTACCCATTCTTCTGATAGTTCTGTCGCCCCTCCTAGTTCGTCGTCTGGTTGCCAGCTCAGTTCCCTTGGGCCAAGTTCTAGAAAATGATAAGTGCAAATGATCTTGCTTCCTTGTTGGCCTCCCCTTTAGGGACAGAAAGATAATTATTAACCAAAGATCATGTAACACTGTGAGTTCAGCATAGAATTCTGTGTTCTTTCTGAAATGGGAATTAAATGTTCCTGAGAGAAAAGGTAGTGGTACTACCTTTTTTTTTTTTTTGAGACAGAGTCTCACTCTGTTGCCCTGGCTAGAGTGAGTACCATGGCGTTTGCCTAGCTCACAGCAACCTCAAACTCCTGGGCTCAAGGGATCCTTCTGCCTCAGCGTCCCGAGTAGCTGGGACTACAGGCATGCACCACCA